ATTTCTTTATCTTATTCCTTATTTTTCTCATTGTGACTGAGCCCTTAAGCGGGGAGCACACACTTCTGCACAACGCATAATGCGTAAGCATAAGAAAATTGATTGGTCCATACACATGTGTATAAGGAAATAGACCAATCAATTTTCTTATGCTTACGTATTATGAGTTGTGCAGAAGTGTGTGCTCCCCGCTTTAGGGCCTTGGCACATAGAAAAACTTAAGCAGTAAAACTGAAGCAGTAAGAAATCAACAGTATGGATTCGCTACCGCTTAGGGCTGTGCCCTAAGTTCTTGACTGTGATTGGCTGATTTGCTTACTGCTTGAATTTTACTGCTTAAGTTTTTCTATGTGCCAGAGCCTTAAATAACGTTTATTTATACATATACCAGACGCCACCCGCCGAATAGAGAAAACTCGTGAGATTTCTAAAATTCCCTATTTAACGGCCAAGCCAATTGCGTGATGCCCGGTCTATCTGGAACTGGATATTCTCGCTGGAAAGCAGCCCTTGTGTCCGCAAACGCGAGTGTTGTATGTCGCGAACAATTAGTGATCTAATAGCCTGGCCGGTTAATTAACTCCCGTAATCAGTAATCGAGGAGTGTCGAGGCGACAATAGCTCTTTAATCGGAGCAAGTACTTTTGCGCGATTTATTTATATTAAGAAATATTAATTGTACAAATATAGAAGAATTTTCTATCGTAAGTTTATATTCAAGAAGTATAATAATTATACCAATATATAAAAGAGTTTTGTCTATAATTTTACATATATGTATTCTAATATAATTCTAACATTTCGCCGCAATAGATATTTCGCACAAAATATTTCGTTAACGTTGTTTAAATTCCAGTATAAATGTGCATAGAATTTTGTGTCGGAATTTGAGATAGAGTTCTGTTTATAATTTCATGTATCGTATATTGCTAGAGAAATATAAAAAATTAAAATACACGCATGTGTGTATTGTACATATAAAATATATATTAAAATAAATTGGAATACGCATGTAAAATTATAGACAAAATTCTTTTTTTAAATATTTATATAATTAATATATATTTCCAGAATATATAAAATTACAAATAGAATTCTTTTATTTTTATACAATTCTCGCACATCGCATTTTGAACTTTTTACTGATTCTAATGCAATTTATGTCCATCACTCACAACGCGGATTAATCATAACTCGCGAACTCGCGCGGTTTCGACATTAGGACTTTCAATTCTAATTAAAAGTTCGTATTTACGATGATTGCGATGAAGAAAAGAAAGAGAGAATGAGAAACTAAAGTAATCGCGACCCGCTTCAGAGAACAAAATCAGGTTACAATATGCCAGTTTTATTTTTCTAATTTTTTGTAGTCTGTTTATTTATATTTATCAATAATTTCCATTACTTTATGTTACTTGAAACAAAATTAAATGTATGTATGTTAAATAAATATACGATATCTTCGCAATCGGAAGAATTACTGATATAAATTATTTAAAAATTAATTTATTAAACTGTACATATAAAACTATATTTTTTTTATTTTCACTATGTTTCTCTTCTTTTGAGAGTTATTATCAAAGATAGATAATTGTGAAGAGGTAAAAAATAATTCTGTAACACACTTATGATGCCGAATTTATTATCTACATAATTATATCATTTTTTTTATTACTGAATAAAAATGCTGATAGTCTTGAAATCTTGAATTATACACAATAACAATAATCATAAACAGATTTGCATCTGATTATTTTTTTAATTTCGCAATTTGCGATTCAGAAATGGTAACATTATAGTTCAATAAGAATAGGTAACAAGTCCGAATATATAAATTTTATATAAAGATTAGGTCCAATTATTGCTTTCTACATTTCTTTATTTACATCAGCTCAGTAGCATTCGGCCAATAATTATATATATAACATTTACAAATATTTTAAGCTTTTCAAATGCAAAACATATATAATATATTTTATATGCTATAATATTACTGTAACCGATGCGTGTACACAGAAAAATAATCATTCTACAGCCAAGAAAAACACTTTACTTATTTTATTTTATTTTGTTTAAGTAAGTTCTCTTACAACAAAGAATATTTTTTTACTAATAGTTTTCAAATATCTTGACACAAGTCAAGAATATTGTTTTGAGTAAATGTAATAAATCTTTCCTCGCAATTTTCCCTGAACTTGTATACGGAAAAGCATCCAGAAATATCACTCCTGCACGTAGTTTGAAGTGATCCATCACGTTCTTCGATACAAAGTCCATCAATTCCTGTTCCGTCACCTGTATGTATAAATATGTACCTTTATGTATAAATAAAATTATACCAATGCAGAAAGAAATTTTCTAATACATTAAAAATATTTCTTATTTTGTATTACAAAGTAATGTATGAATAATTCGTTCAAAAAACACATTATTTAAAAAACCACTTTCATTAATGTTTACATTAATTTATTATAAATAAGAAAATAAATATTTAGATGTGTATTATATAAGTTTGATTATATAAGATTGATTTGTATTATATAAATAAAATATTACAAATTCTTTTACAATAACAATTTATTAAGGACTTTATTATGAAATTTTTGAAACTAACTCAATGTCAATCTTATATCAAACCATGTTTTATCATACAGAGTTCCAGTTAAAAGCATTAACTAAGATAATATACTTTTATCTATACTCCGTCCCCAACGAGAGATTTTATTTTAAATAGATATTGTCCAACACTATTAAAAATAAAAATAATTTAACGCGAACACCTTGCTGCGGCTCTGTGCCCTATCGTTATTTATGTTTGATCAACCATATGATCTCTCGTTGGACGAAGTATAGAAGTTTCATTTTTTTCGCGATTCTTTCATAATTGAATCAAATCTTTACTTATTTAAACAGATTTATTTATCGCCCTCTGATTTTGATCGCATCAACGTCTTTATTTTTATGAGCTTGATTCTCTATAATAACTATTAGATATCTACCAGAAATTTTAGGAAAATATTCCACGAAATAAATCGGTTTATTATTCTGTTGGTATTTGATTTTATTTTATCTTTGTTCTATGATCTTATCATGCTAACAAAAATTGTACCTTGACATTAGACCTCTTGGTGACAAAAGCAAGAGGGTGCTCATCGTCTAACTCATGAGGTATTCCTATTACTGCTACTTCTAGCACTGCTGGATGCGACATTAACACATCTTCGATTTCGCCGGGTGCGATTTGATATCCTCTATATTTTATAAGTTCCTTTATTCTGTCAACAATAAATAATTCCCCATCATCGTCAAAATAACCGATGTCACCCGAGTGTAGCCACCCTGAAAGAATTCCAAATTTATATTTGCTATATTAGATTTTCACGACATTATTAGACATGTTCGTTAAGACATAGTGGAATATAATTTATTTACTTTACATTTATTAGTCATAAGTGACTTTAAAATATAATTATATATTATTATGTAATTATTATTATAGATAGAAACTCTTTACCTTCCTCATCAACCGTACTTTTCGTCGCCTCAGGATTTCTATAATAACCAGTCATTAAGGTTAAAGATTTTATCCATATTTCTCCCGACTGATTCGGACCAAGTACTTTTCCGTTTTCTAAGTCCACAATTTTTATTTGTACATTCTTAGTAACTGTTCCACAAGATCCATTCTTGTGGTTCGGCAGTTGCATTGTTATGAGACCGGTTTCTGTCATTGCTAGAAACACAAGGAATGTAATCGAAATTTTATAACACTCATTAATGTATATTAATATTTTATCGCATTATAATGATATTTACCGTAAATTTGTAATATCTGGACATGTGGCAAAATACGTCTCAATTCTTCCTGCACTTTTGACTTAGTTGTTGCACCATCGTATGAAATTGTTTCCAAAGATAACAAAGAATATTTCTTTACGTAGCCCGCTTTGAGAAACCGATTGAGCATGCTAGAGCTCAAGAAAACGAATCCTGCCTAGGCAATAAAATAATTTACTATTGGATTTTGTCATATTATGCACAATATGCTAACATAAAACTAATTTAAAAATTTACAATTTATAATATAAACAAGGATACATCATGAAACACGATTATATGTATCATAATAACATTTTTCACATATCTTGAGTGTAAAATATTATCATGTATTATAATTCGCTATTAATTCATCAAAATGTAATTCGTTATCTCAAATATATGTCACGTGTGAATGACAAGTTTTGATAAAGAACTGATCGCATTATTCTATTAGTAATAAAAGTTATCGCGACAATTAGCTCAAATAAAAAACATTACAGTATGCTTAAAGGAAGACCAATTCACTTCACATTCTTCACAATTCATTTCAACTTCATCATAAAGGTCACGAGAAAGTAAAAGCTAAAAATTATCGTGATTACCTATTCATAATAGGAAGTACGAGGTAATTATATCAACGTGACATTTTAGTCATCATTATTTTTGCAATAACAAATCTTGAAAATTAAAATTATTTTGTTTTAATTATTTGAACAAGCATTTAACATAATATTACTTTGTATTTCTCTATCAGTTGACAAGTCATCTCTTCGTCAAATTCTGGATAGAGGATCACTTTGGAACTATTCACGATCGCATTAAAGTTCAATATTATCCCACTCAGCCAATAAAGAGAAGAAAACCAAAGTGATGGCGCGTTATTTATTTTTAACTTGTTTTCCTGGCTGAAAATTAGTACGTAGTAGTTGGACAGTTCGACACCTTTCGTCAGTCCCGTAGTACCCGACGAGTGCAAGATGCACGCCGTCTTCTGGATGTCGTCGAGCTCAATGTAACGGAAATTTGAGACTTCCGCATCATTGCAATTGTTCAAAATATCAGAGAACGAAATTGCATCGACATGCTTACCGAAAATCACCACCGTGGGATTGAAATTTTTGTCTTTTATCGCGCTCAAGACGACATCCACGGATTTCTCATTGCAGAAGATCACCTTCGGCGTGGTCAGTTCCAAAACGTGCATTGCAGTTTCTGATTACAAATAATTCGTAAGTATTATAAAAATGAATGTTATGCTTAATATTATTGTTCATTTAAACAATAAAAAATTTTATTTAATTAATATCTACAAGATAAAATTGTAATTGTATTTGAACGCATTATCGGAAATGCATTATTTCTAATCCGCTAAGTTAATTAAATAAAATATGCGGAATTAGAATTACTATTTGATAATCGAGGAAGAACTTACGCAAGTCCATATTTTCGTACCACGGGTTGGAAATCGCATTGATATAAGTTGCCGAAAGACAAGGCACGATGGAATTGAGATGATTATTCGTGCACAAGCTGATGACATCACCGGATTTGATTCCTTGTTTTTGCAGCCATAAGGCGCATCTCACAACTTTATTTTGCAGCTGTGCGTATGTTACCGTTTTTTCGGTTTGTGCATCCAGCTGAACACAAAATTATCTTATCAAGAGTATTGTATAAATATAAGGAGGACGTCTTTCTTTATGTCTCTGTGTCTCATAAACTTTTTGCTCTCTATTTGCTAACATGGCTAGCATATAACATTGCTAAAAAAATTTTCTTTGATAATAAGCTGTTTTTTGTAGAAAAGCATTATAACATACGTATAGAAAACGCATATTATCATCGCTTTAAAGCATAAAACCTATTTTTTAAATGTTTTCCATTATTCTGCTCTATATTTGATGTTAAAATATGTATTTCTTCTACCATACACATGCATTCTCTTTTAACATTGCTTGTTCATTTCATGTCTTTGATAAAACAATTTTATGTAATTCAACATGTATTATACGTATAAACAATTTCGAAGAGCAATCGCAATAGATTCTATTTTCAACATCGTTAATATCAGTTTTTAAGTTTTAGAATATTTAAATATTTATGTCCGTTTTTTTTTAATCTTAAATGTTTTGATGTCATATGTATTACGTCGACTCACGTATGCGATATTATTTCCATGATTTCTTATGTTAGTCCATAACATTTCTCCAACACTTTTGTAGTTATTCGATTTATGCTCCGCTTTGCCCTTGTAAACGCCATTTTCCACGGTAAAATTCTGTAAACGACATATTGTATATCAAACTGTTTTAATTGTTTATTGTCTTTAATGTCTTTACGCTATATGTCTTTTATGTCAATCATACATTCATTAGTTTTGTTCTTTAGACGTAACATGGAAAGATCACATGGAAATAGATCATTATTTGGCTGATTTTGGACCTACCTTCGAGACATGTTCAACCATTTTGTTAGAAATATCTAGCTCTGCCATCGTAATGTAAGATTCTGAATGCGATCCAACACAAGGTCACTCTACAATATTGCATCACAATATTGTAAAGAAAATTGATCTTCAAATTGATCAAATATTGATCTTATTTAACGGCTCTGGGCCTTTGAATCCTGTCTTTCTTCTTGAAGAGAAAGGAGCCAGACAGGCAGACTTGCCAGTTTTACGGTTACGAGTAGATATTATTTTGGTTCGGACGCTGTAGACCCACGTATGCACATGAATAAAAAATATAATAATTAAAAATATATAATAATTTTGTATACAATAACTATCTGCAGATTATTTAATTAATCTTATCTGCAGATTATTTAATTAATTGGATTTTATTAAGCTAGTAAAGTAATGACATTTTTGACGGTTTTGCTACATAATTTTTTATCTTTGTTAATTAAGTTATGTAGATGCTGATTTAATCGTGAGAGTTTATGTAAATGTACATCACTTGTAATAAAACACAGAACAAACACACACAACAAAATACTTTTAATAACAGCGGTTGATCTTCAGAGCGACTGCAAGTTGTTTGAAATCGAAAATTGAATTATTTTTAAAATATAAAATAGAGTTAAATTAAGATAGACACACACACATATACATATATATTTAAATAAACCAAAAAAAGTTAACGTTTTAATATCTTTATTTATTCTATCTGACAATTATATAATATATCTATGAATGAGAGGATGAATACTTGAATTTCTGAAAATACTCGGCAAAATTTAGTATGTTACTGTAAATAAAAATAAATAATAATACAGGAGGCACAACTAAGTACAATACCTTTATTGCAACAAAGAAAATTTTGTACTTGATGAAGGACTTCTTTTTATTACACAAAAATTATCCTTTTTGAAGAATATTCGGCGGACAAGCTAATAACGGTAAACTTATAAGCGCTGTTAGCAGTAGACTGCGAGCATTTACTGACTATACATCGCGTTACGTATCTTTATACTATCCCTTCCTCACAAATTAAAGAGCTTCAACCAATCGTAAATCATAGCTGTGTCATTATTGTGATTACATTAATTAGTCTTAATATTTCTTATTCAGTGTTTTCTAATATTTATCTAAGGAAAAATATTTTAAAACTAGATAACTGGTAGTGTCTATTTCTAGTTCTATATATTGTTTTTGGTATATCTTTTTTTTTAGAATTTAATGCAACTTGACTCATATTATTTATTTTTTAATAAATTATTGTAATATTTAATTTATATATGTTTTTTAACAAATACTGAAATTAATATTTTATTTATGTCCGTTAAAAGCATACAAATTGAAATCTTGCTTACAACTCTGACAGGTGATATACAAGTGATAAGAAAATTGCGTATTACTCAAACATATTACATAACTATATTTAGGAAGACAAAAATGGAAGTTACAGAGAAAGTTGATTAATAGTTGCTTGATTTTAAATTTTAAGATATATTTTACTGGGCCCTTATATTCAGCAACTTAAAATTTTATTATTAATTTTTTAAATTATTTTTAACAAGACAAGTATTTTATCGATATAAAACATAAACTTTTACTAAATAATTATATATTTTTAAGTTTATTTTCCAATTCGCTAAATAAATAATCATGCAATCCTGCTATTAAAACTTTAAACAAACATCTGCAAACAGATTTTAATTACCTGTAAAAACCTCCACATTAAAAATAACTATATTGCTATTATTTCTAAAACTTATTTTGAAGACTAGATTCATTCTAATTTTAAGAAAGTTACGTATCTCTATCATCCATAATCTTATCGATAGTGTTTTTATAAGATTAAAAAATGTTTATCTTCTTTGTTTATAATATGTATCTATTCGGAAAAAGCATACATGACTATATATGTATATATATATTCACAAATTTTGCCTTATTGAATAGATGTAATTAATTAGGGTGCTTAAATGATTTTTTAACCATTTCTTTAAATTTTTTCTCACAATTTTTTCTGAACCTGTATACAGAAAAGCATCCAGAAATATCACTCCAGCACAAAGTTTGTAGTGTGATCCATCATATTTTTTGCCACAAAATCTATTAATTCTTGCTCTGTCTCCTGAAACGAAATTCAATCATTGCAACTACAGAGAACATTTTAACATAAAAAAAATATTTTTTACTACGCATTAAACGAGATATATAAATATATTGTATTTTGCTGAAATACAAAATTAACATTTAACTTTATTTAGGTATATAAAGCAAAGGAAACAAAAACTTACATGTTTGGTATTATGATTAAAATGTGGAAAAATCTTGACAATTATATTTAAAAGAATATAAGGAATGTTATTATACTGAATTTTTTTTAAAGCTAAAAATATTGGACGTTAAACATTGTTATACTGTACAGTTACAATTAAAAGCGCTACTGACAAAAATCAATATTTGCATTTTTATCTCTGTATTCTTTTCTTTCTTTTCCGCGATTACATCACAGTTTTAAAATCTGTCTTGTTAAACTGATACAGACGTCTTCGCTCTTATCTGAGTTACAGAGATAATATATACTTACCTCAAGGTTGCTCCGCCGCGCGCCGGTGCCCGATGTCTCTCTCAGACCTCCTCCTCCTCTCAGGACGTCAGGCCTCCTCCTCTCACCGCAGAGGACACTCGCGAAAAACACTTACGAATAATAAACTATAATCGCGCGCGGACTAATTTATCAGTAAATGTCTTTCGCGCGATACTGTACGGCACTCCCGTTTAAAAACCCCATGAGAAAAATATTCCGTCAAGTACATGCCGTAATATTCTTTAAAGGACTTTGAAAAAGTTCTTTAGTCCGATTACTTGAACGGCACTCTCTAGAGTTCCTATAATACTCTAGCACTCTCAAAACATACGCGACAAACCGGCTGCGGTTCGTTTATTCAATTAAATCGGCGGACGAGGGTACGTTAGCTTCCCCGTCTTTGGATTTTTATCCAAGTAGAACAAGAGTTTTGCTTGGGTAACATCCTCGGGGTACTGGGCCTTCCCACCTGGCCAAGGTACCCATGGGAAGGAAGTTCTTTACTGTGTTTTATAAAACCAGGTGTATTATAAAATCAAGTTATTGATATATATATATATATATATATAAATAGATAGGCTACAAAAAATTATAATAAAATTGGAACATAATTAATTTAATTGTCTTCTTTTTCATTAAATAAATTAATAAAACAATATTTAAAATAATAATATAAATTGCCCCAATTCGTTTTGCGTTCATCACCGCGTTACTTTAATGAAGTCAAAATGTTAAATTCTAAGATGTCGACAACTTGCCGCGGTACTACGCGAGTTGAGTGGACGATTAATAAAGACACGTAGACGCAGTTGATTAATCAAAGATACCCTATTGAAATTAAATATAGCACGCGTAGTACGTTATCAAACTCGTCAATCTCGCGAAAGTAAAATTCCATTATTAATTTATACGACGAAGAATCGTGACTGCCGACCGCTAATGGCGCTAATTTACGTGACGCGAGATAGGTATACGAGATTATGACGCATTCACGAATGGGCGATGTATCACGGCGTTCCGTTACTCGAATCACTCGACAATATACGAATCATACGACAGTATCACACTCAGCCCTCTTTTTCTTTACAGAGAGAATCGGAGATAAATCACATCGGAGACAATTATTCCGGCACTGCATTCAAAGTGCGACACGCGATAAACGAAATGCTACGTTCGAGTCCAGAAAAATAGCCCCACGATTATCGCCCGCGAATATCATCACGACGAAAGTAAATTTTCGCAATTACACCACACATACCTTCGCCCGTCGCCGACTTAGCCTCGACGTCTTCACCTCGATATCTGCGTCTTGAGCGAGTGATTCGCGCGATACGTTCATTCCGACAAACACTTAATACATTCGCAAATTATTGAACGCGTATGGCACGTACTCGCGTAGGCGATTATTCTCGCGACCCGCGAAACGAGGAGCAGGAGTGCCAATCGCAGAAACGAGCGCGTTCCCAATAACACACAGCACCAATAGGTGCGTTCGAAAACGTCACTCGGGTACCCACGGGTATACTCTCTTCTCCTTCTAACTCGCTGAGATAGAAAGAAAAGGGAGAGTATACTCGTTTGCACACAGGTGACGTTTCCGAACGCAGCCCGCACGGAGCACGGCACGGCACGGCACGGCGCGGCGGCGACGGGCGCGCGGAGCACAAACAGTTCATACCTGTGTGAAATTCACCTGGAGAACGATAGCTGATGAGGCACTTCCGCAGGTAAAGGTACTCCAAAGTCCAAGCGTTGACGGAAACAAAGTGGCAAGGCCACTCACCGGCAAGAATAATCGGCCGCGCAGCGACTTTGAACGTACGCTGCTCTTTCAACGGTCGCGCCTAGTACAGTGCGTTTCCCAGGTAGCAATTAATGTCTAAAAGACATCATAAAGACATCTTTAAGATTTCTGGCATCTTAAAAACATCTGTATGATGTCTTTTAGACATTAATGCTACCTGGGCTGGTATACGCCACGCGCCGCGGCGTCGGCGTCGCGCCGGCGGCTCGGAGCGGCCGAACGTGATTGGCCGGATTCGAGGGCTCGACTCGCGAGCCAATCGCGTTCGACGTCTCACCCGACTGTGCGGCGGCAGCGGCGCGCGCAAGCGGCGCAAGTAATACGTGATACATTCAACGTCGGTGTCGTCGCCGTCGTCGGTACGAAACGCAGCGAGACGTTGTCGCTCGTGTAATTCCTTTCTCGTGAACGAAAAGAAATCCGGTAACGGAGTGTTGCTAAGTGAACGTACGCCGAATATTCTGTTCCTTCTTGTGTCGACTGAAACGAGTGGGGTGCTGTCGCTGGACGAGAACGCCGACGCCGACGCCGACCGCCGCCGTGCTGGACGTCGAGACGCCGTACGAGCCACCCTCCCGGCTGTGATTTGGCGGGTCTCCTGCAGTGCTCCGTGATCGGTGAGTGAATTTTACGTGAGAAATAAGTGTTTCGAAGCGCGATATATCCGAATCTTGATAGAATCGTTGTCCCGCGTGTCACAGGGAGACGATAACCTCGAAATTCGCGTCTCTTGTCTTCGTTTCGGTTTCTACTTCGAATAAGTGAATCGTGCGGCAAGACGCTTTCAGTGAATAGTTTGAACCTCTCTTTAAGCACGGGAATTAATATTCGGTGAGATTGAAGGGATGGGACGCGCGTTCGATGTTTTCGTGTCGCGATCGAGGGAGCGAGGTTGCTTCGAAATGCGTATGAACGTTGTGAGTGCGAACAATCTCTACTTTGCAGAAAATTAATAACGTTAAATTGTATCGTTTGTAAAAATTTGTTCGTGATTGTTCTCGCAACGCGGTGATCGCGGATAATAAAAGACGACAAACAGTCGCCGTAAAGATTTTTAATTTAAAAATTCTAAAACATTCTCTGTTGCTCGTTCCCCAAATTTTCTATAAACGAGCCTATTGCCTCACATTTCATGATATAATAATAAAGTATTCGATTACAGCAAAGCTGTAAAATTTCACGTGATCATCACATTAAATTAATTATATGAAAGAGAAAGAGAAAGAGAATATATCGAATGTGTAAATCGTTTTCTTAGATGTAGACTTTTGTAAAAAATTATTTCATAAAGTGCTAAATATTTTGAGAACAGCTCAGGTGTCTCATCATAACACACTTGACAAATTTTTTCTTTAATTTTTGGTTTCTCATAGAAATCATTTCGCTACGAAACAGAATTATCAAAGATTGTAAATGTAACGTGTTATCCACCGAGGAAATATTCAGACATAAATATATAGGTTGCAGTCCATTTGATACTACAAATGCTTTGAAGCGTTTTTCTTTTTCTTCTTATTTCTTCTTTGAAAAAAAGGAAAAGAAGAATTCTTCGAAGCATTTGTAGTGTTAAGTGAACCGCAGTCATGGAAATCACAGGACATTATAGGAAATTACTACTAATATGTTATACTCACTTCCAGTGAGAGTATAACATAATTTATTAATTATAGATATCATATATTTATTAAGTATATCATAATTTATTAATTTATTAATTTTTTAATTTATTTGCAGTGAGAAAGGATTCCAGAAGGATGCCAGAGTGAAAGATCTTTCAACGATGAACGAGGAACTTAGAAAAGCGAGAAAAGTGAGAAAGGTTTTCGACGAAGTTAAATATGCAGGTACTGTCAAAGACTGGAATACAATTGTAATGTTATATCCATCAACAAATGTAAAACTGAATACGTAATAAGTTTGTATTAATCTACTTGAATCTCTCGTTCGTTTATTTAAGTAATCTTTCAAATCAGCAGGATCAAGTTGCAAGTAGTATTAATGCAGTCTGATTACATAATTGATCTGCATATGTATCTTGAGCAAAGCAAAAAATTGGTTTTTTATTATTTACATTTATTGCTGGGATAACGTCACTTTATTTTACAACAACATATGCGTATAATAATTGTTTACAGGTAAACGCTTGATTACTATCTTTTGTTACATATAGCAAAACATAGATAAGTAGCAAAACTTTTTTATGTGTTCCTGATATCAATTATATAGCTAAACTATAGAAAGACAAAGTAATTTTCAATAAGTAAATGATAAAATATTAAAATAGTCTTGTACTACTGTGAAATATTTATATCGTTTGCGGTTAATTGCGTTTAATCCTTCAATAAATGACGAGATATTGAAAAAGGTAATGACAGCCAGCGCGCGGTTGTGAGAAATACGCGGGCGGGTCGTAACGAAAGTTATGAAATTTCTGTGTAATCGTCCGACAAATCAGCCGTATGCTTGGAAAGAATTATCATGTTTAAGCTCAATTCGGAAGTGAATGTGATAAAAATTGATGATCTCTCGTATAGTTAGCGCCGCGGCCTCGTAAATTTTGAATGACAGTGCGACGTTACATTACGGAAACAACGATAACTCTCGGCCGCGACCGCTCTCGAGCACAGGGATATCGATAAGCCGACCTTTCTTGTTGGTCTCGAATATTAAGACATATAGAAAAATAGTTATGATAATAATTATATTATGCGTATCTTGCTTATTATGCAATGAAATAAATCTCTTCTTTATAAAAATTCCAGGTGCACAGAGATTTCGGTGATTTTATTATGCAGTGCGGAGCGAAACAGGACGACACCGATGTGGCGAATTCAGAGGTAAATATATTTAATTCGAGCAAAGAAAGCGAATAGACTTTTAGGAAATAATAATTGACAAAGCTGCATAATTTAGTTTAGAAATTATTAAAGTATAGTTTTATAATGTTGCGCACAATTTATCTCTTTCAAATTTTTTTAGGATTTTTAGGATTTGGTAGTTTATTATTACATCTCATCAATATCTTTTCACTGATAGGAAATAGTTCCTGAAAGCAAGCAGATATACATATGAAATATTTCTTTATTTGTGCTGTACAATTTTAAATTTCGAAGATCTCGATTACAATCTCAGATTAGAGTATATACAATAATAAAATAGTGCGTCTCTTTACAATTTGTGATCTTATATACAATTCGTGCTAAATACGTAATTTACATCGGGACGGACCCTCGAAAAGACGTTGAAAGCGTTATCGTTCGCGATTAAATCGCAAGAAAACGATCGAATCGTTCTCTTCTAACAAAAACCCAACGATTTTGTTAGTACGGTAGATGGCATTTTAGCGAAGGCAAAAGGAAGTTACAAGTACATACGTTTGAAATTTCTGCCCGCGGGCGATTGTCGGCATGCGCCTTCGTCAGTGCATGAATATTGAATAGGCAGTCGGAACATTTACATTTATCTCCAAGGATTATGAATACTCCCTTTCCTCGCGCGAAATGAAAACTCGGACGGTATAACATCGCGAAAAAGAAGAAAATCAATTTAGTCTCCGCTATGTATCTTCCTTTCATCGATACTAGATTTCTATCCGTGATATCGCTTCGCTTAATATCTCGCTGACATATATATTGACTTTTTCAGAATTATTTGATACGCGAATTAATTCGATCACGTATGCGGTATTTATCTATCGGCAAGTCTTATCACAATATGTGAAATTTCGCAACATTACATCTAGAATTTTGTGACTTTTTTTCAGGCAAGAATCGTTAAATGTTTCGTTATGTAACGGGATACATGTGAAATAAAGAGTGTTAACACATTTCCGCATTATTTTGACATAAAATACTAAAAGAAAAATTTGTGAAAAAATTTTTTTTGAATTTAATCTGAAAAATATAGATTTGATTGTGCAATGTTAATAATATAAAAAAATTTGTAGCGTTTAAGTAAAATTGGAAATTAAGTATTATTAAATAATAATACTTAAGAACGTATAAAAATTAATTCATAAAATGGAATGTATTATGCAAATTTCATATGTATCCGCTGTGGGCAATGACGATTATAATCATTACGATAAATTTTATTTCGTGATACGACAGCTGTGCATCAGCTATTAATTCACGCTAGTTACAAAATGTTTTTACTTTTACTCTAACATCTTTTCGTATTTTTAAATTACAAAATAAGGTATAACAGCGTTCTTTTAATTTTTACGTTTCTTGGATGCACGTGTTAAGTTAAAACGTTACATCACAATACACGATATCGGTAATTTGTACAGTAATCGCAGGAACGTTTGCATATAGCGCACACGGCTATCGGCCGATGGATGTAAAGTTCTTTCGCTATATATTCATAAGATACGAAATCATATCTGCTTTGCATCGACAAATAAATGATGGAATCGAAATTGAAATTTCGTAGATAAGTTTTCACAATGATAAATTCTTGATTCTTCGATGGTTAATCGTCTTTACACAATTGGGTCTCAGTGCGGCCGATACCTGTTGCGCCATTTTATATATTAATACAATCGATTGCCGCCACGTACGGCGGAATGTCTAATTTAATTACGCGTTTAATTTACAATATTTATATATACAATACATAAATTCAGTAAAATTTACAGGAGCTATAGAAATATTTAACATAAGACACGTGCATTTGTTACGTCAATGCGTTACGTGAGAAATTGTTGCAACTTTTGCTGACTAAATAATTAAAGTGATCAACGATTTCTCTCACGCATCATTCATACCTGAAGTCTCGCAATTATGACATAAACGCACAGTGACTCGCTCGATATGTTGACATTGACTGTGTTCAAAGTACAACTAGATTGTGCATAATCAGGCTTTGCTGCGACATAAGGCACTCGCAATACATGCACACGCGTGGAATGAATTGCTAGCGGTAACTAATAATTATTAGCACGGATCAATGAATCGCGGCCAAGATCGGCAATATTGCAGTGCAACGCTTTACATCGATCTTTAAAATATCTCGTCGAGGAATAATTATAAAACTAGAACGATTAGGTCATAGGCCGACGTCAATATAAGGACGCTCGCGTTAAATATACAATCTCTATGATGAAATTCCATATTTCACACTGGTTACAGTTCGCAATAGTTCTTTCTTTTTATGCAGCGTATAGTGAGTTATAATTTTAGAGAGGAAATTACCTTTTGACATTCGTGCACTTGCTTGTGTCGTTTTTATAAAATCACAAACATATTAAATATACGTAAATGAAATAAGGAACAAATGCTCAGAAGATACATATAGTCAAATAAATAGTAACACATAACAGTACGATATTTCCACACAGTTATTGATAGATGTTGAGTCAATCTTAATTAATTATACGCGACACTAATTTTACTCGTTATTATAATTTATTCGCATATAAGATTATACAGTCTGTGATAATGAAGCTGATGTTCTCACATCTTAATATTAAATTCAAAATTAATTATGATTTATGTGTGTGCACGATTTTATTCTTAAAAATCATAAAATCAATAAAGATGAAAAAGTAAAAAATATCGGAAACCGTTGAATATTAAAAATGAAGATTAATCAAAATGAATGTTGGTAGAAGATTAGAGATCCTCTAATCAGAGACTGGCTATAAGGAGACCACTTTTGATTGGTTCGCCATTTCTCTTCAAAAGCAAGAGAAACAAAAAGAGAAAGAGATATAAGAGGGAAAGAGAAAGCGATATGAATGTTTATCGCTTTCTCTTTCTCTTTCTCTCTTATATCCTTCTCTCTCACAGGATTTTGAGGAAATCGCTTGATGGCCAGTCTCTGATTAGGGTCTCTAGTAGAATAGTAGAACTGATTGAATTTTTTTTCTATGTATACTTCAATTAGTATTTTATTTTGAGGAAATAAGGACTCAATTGAATCGCATTTAACGTATCAGTTTATCGACATAGGGAAATACTTGTGTATCACTGGTTTATCTAATAGTTTATGTGCTAATTTTATAAGAGAAGATGGAATGTGTGCGCCGTAGAAGTCTTTGAAATTATTCTGTAATCGAAATCGACGTCGCCAATGAAAACGTGCATAGGATAAAGTCGATAGCCGAAATCACGAAGAACGACAGAGACATTTGCCATAGTGCGTGAATTCTTGCTTGCATGCGCATATGTGTGCGAACTCGGGTTCGAGGGGCAAGGAGGGACCTATGAAGGGAGAGAAAGGACGCGGGAATCGCCAACACATCTCGATATCTCACAATTCGATCTCTCGAGCCGGCCGCTCGTATATTTACATGTATAATTTATATATCCCGTAGTCCGAACGAACATGCGGTGCGTCCGGCCAGGGCGGACCCATGGCCGTCCTTATGATCGTTCTGGGACGTCCGTCGAATCCCGCGCGAGCCGTCCTAGCACGAGAAGGCATTATATAAAAGAAAGTCCGGCTCGAGAGAGAAATTCGCGAGAATCCAGTCGCGCGAATTCCCACGATTGTCAGGCGACGTCGATCTTTTTGAAAATTTTGCGTGTGCTTTTCAGACGACATACGTTCCTCTCGCAAATCAAACACGACAAGCGGAAAGTTTAAGCCGGTTATACGGGACGGATGCGATCATTATTTTGTACTTTTATTTCTTGCACTAGATGCAATGGTATTTGATCTTTATTTATGAATATTACTTGATTTGATGATTATTTGATAAGTGCTTGGTAAATGCTTGGAGTACAATGATTACTAATTACAACCACTAAAAAAATTTTTTTTTAATTTACGTGTTGCTTTTACCAAGTCACTATCTCACCTATTATTTTATTACTAATAATGACAAAAAAGTTTCCTCGTGTTCACTGTCTCATAAAAAGATAGCAATTGCTCCGATCGTTTTAGTGTCTTGTACAAAATTTAGTTGCATTAAAGAGTTAATCTAAACTTCAATACGACTACGATATTTATATAAAGTAGAAGTAACGAAACCGAAATAAAAATAGATGTTCGATCTTACAGATATTATACGATGTCTCATGTTCGCGCGGTTCAAAGTGACGTTGAGATCAGTAAATAGCACAAATATGGAAGAGATTTGATATTTTCGCAATTATTTCGCACGAGATAGATTAACACGCGCGGTGGATCTCGCATCTGCCTCATCATAACGAAAGGCAACGTTGTTAGAGATTTTTCGCGATAAATAGCAACGCGACCGAGTTAATTTACCTGGACGCGGATTACGAGAGATGCGAATAGCAGCCTTTCGGATTGTGACTCCAAATTATCCGTAAACACGCGATCTTGTTAGAAGTTCCGACGCGTGACGCAGATGCAGACGGCGCGCGAATGGAAATGAGGCGGGCTCTAATTAAACGAATTCCATAATACATTCTCGTTCGCGTAACACGACCGTGATAAGGGCTACCCGTTCGAGCACGACGATGTGGCGCGGTCATGGGATATTTTTTCGGCGGTATAATACAGCATCGAGAGTCGTACCGGGTTCTCCCTGCCGCCATTGTGTAGCCGCGAGGGCACAATTAATTATAGCGTATCCACAGAAGGAGCGCATTGTTGCGTCTGTGTTGCTTGAACGTATGTATGCGTTGCGCGTTGCGTACGCCTCCCGGTTATGTATCTCGATAATCTCGTGCGTTTTGATCATTTTGCTAGCCGCAAAAAGTTGTTTTCGAGGTTGCTATCTGACACATTTCTTTAATTCATTAGAGATAATGAGGTATAAGTTACAGATATTGGAATATGCATGCGAAATTTTTTCTCTCCGAATCATACAGAATATCGAAATATTTTTAGAAAAGCGTGCCACTCGCATGCTTAGGCAATTATATAAAAGCGAAGAGGTGATCGCTTTTTTAACTTAAGTAAATTCCATATTGTGCCAATTGGAAACTTCCTGATAGCGAGCTTTATTTCTCTTTATGAAGACCGCAACACAATTTTCAACAACGTAATGGGCGTATCTTCACTCGCATTTTCCTCAGTTAAGCGCGAGGTAACTAGAAACTTGAAGAATCAAGTGGTTCTAAAGCTGTTTTCATACATATATATAGCGAGACGCGTTTAGATGAGCGCGGGCATTCTCGTGTGTTTCAAAGAGTGTTCGGTTGAACGTAGACGTGTGAGTGTGTAAGTACAGGTGAGCTAAAGGTGAACGACGTGAAACGCGCGCGGGAGAATCTCGAGGCGAAGCAAGAGAACGCGTTCTTCTCGGGTTTGTGTTTCGACGGGGGGGGGGGAGGGGAACAATCGGCTTCGCCTGAGAAGCTAATTAAGAGAACACGACGGCGACGATTAAACGATTCTCCGCCGAATCGAGCGAGACGAATTAATTCCGCCGTCGATCGGGAATCGAGGATAAACGATTGAAACTGATACGCCGCCAAGACCGAAACCTATCTAGTGCTCGAGCGATAATCCGTCGCGTGACACGCGAATGCGACTCGACGCGATTCTTCGAACGAAGTACGTATACGATTATATCCAGCGTTACCAGAAATATTTCCCACAATTGGCGTAAAATGTTGCCGTATTACACGACAAGGTCATGAAGACAATTTTATTGTGAGCATCAAACATCGTTTGCTGTAATGCGTTTCTTCCGTCTCCCGCTGAAAGAGAAGCAATTTTGTTACCCTGAATACGCTTTGGCACAAAATTCGACGAATCAAACAACGAAGTCAACGAAGTCGCTATATAGACTTAACAAGCGGTCTTTTAGTCATTAACAAAACTCCTGCGATCTGTCGCTGCATTGTGCGTTGTTTAGTCTATTTTATATAGAATGAAAGACAGAAAATAACGTAATAAAATGCTCGCCAAGATGTTTCGTGCGAATATCGTATACGTACTTCGTTGAGCATCATGATCCGCCGACGTTCGCGGCACGGAATTCTGCAATTTTCCATAATCGAGGCACGCACGTGAAAACGAGGCCTCATTTGCGCGCGGCAAGCACGGAAGGATGCTGGTTGGGAATATCGCGGCAGCGAATGCTTAGAGAACACGGACGGATGTAGCCGAGGGCGCTGACTGGCAGCCCCGAACGTCAAATTACGGGGCACCTGCTCTTCAAAACGACTTCATTTCATTCGTATCGTGTAGGCATTTCGAATCTGCTGTGCGGTTTCTCCTCTCGGTAATATTTACAATCATAATGCCCCATTAGATTCCGAATTAACCCTCTAATGCGTTAGAATCTCGTAAAACGCGCTCAAATCTTCGTGTAACAGCTAAGATTGAGATAAGCTAAATGTACAAGATACGTCACTTCTCTACTGGTTAATTGTTAATCGGAAACTTTTTCGTCAATTTAAAGTTGATTTTTCTGTAATGAAAATGTCGAGATTGTTTACCGCAATTTTCCAATTTCTACCTTCATTTTCAATTCATTACAATTTGTGTGGTTTTTATTTCTTATACAGACTATCAAATTTAATGCAGGGTTACTTTTGCTATATGCAATCTTATTCCATCAATGCAGCTACGGTAATTTGAACAGATTCGACGTTATATACGTTGCCGTTGACCGCTCACGTAATGTAGGTCTGAAAATTTTGCTCCCCCTCCCTCTTTGATTGACGTGAAGGGTGGCAGAAATAATGGGGGTCGATTCTTTCGCCTAGTACTGGTTGACTTTCGCAGGAATGTCGGAGCGGCATCAATTTATATCTCAGCGTGTTATTACTGATTGGAAACCGCAACGTGCGATTCTTCGTGCGCGGTATCATTACGTTTTTGCTTTACGTTTACCGAATGAAAATCGAGCGTCACGCCTGAGTTGGCACCATAGTTACTCGAAATATATCCCCGTGCCACAATGCATCTTAAGTAAACGCGAACATAAATTTATCAATATTCTAACGAGCGCGATCGCGTGTTGAGTCCGCGACTAGCAATTTGAAGATTTTTGTTCGAGATCGCAGGGTTTTGTCGATTTCGCGAGAATAGCGCTTAATCGTGTATTAATTCCTGGCGCAGCCACGATTTTCTCTGGTCACTTACCTGCCAACCGGTTTATCTTCCGCTTGTCTTTTGTCTAAAAAAAAAAAGTATCGGGACATTGAATACCTAGTATTTTATTAGCGCGTAAAAGCAAAGGGGGAACGCGCCGCGATGCCGATCGATTCGCGTCGCTTGATCCGTCGATTCGCGTGTCTCGAAAGTCGATTGTCTTAACAGGACCACAAAGTGTGGCGACAAAGGAGCAAGTGGAGCGTTGCCGGGCAAGAAATCGATTTTATCCGGAACCGGTCTCCGATACACACACACATCCGCCGGTTTAAACAACACTTTTACCAAACGTGATCTTTTCAATTCCTTCTGTACGAGCAAAACTTAAAAGTCCTCTTGTACGGGCAAAACTTAACTGAGCACCGTGAAACACTGTCTTGAAGAAACTTTCGAGTCACGACGAACAGTGACGAAAAATTTCACAGTCTTTCGTCTCCTCTGATCTCCACCTTCGTTTATTCCTACTTTTTATTACAAGGACAACTTCCTATCGTCCTCTCGCGTGTAACGAGTTAAATTATAAATACTACGTGAAGACTTTTCGTTCACAAACGAAGTAAACGCACGTCGGTATAATTGCCTATTTCAAACTTTTCGTCACGCGTTTTTGTTCCGAAAAGATCATCCCTTAAATATAATCCGAAGGCACTGTGTTCTCGTTGATTGCCGCCAGTCTATACTGCGGCGTGTCCAGATTCTGCGGATTCAGGTGCAGGTTTATCGTTGTCGTCGTCGTCGTCGTCGTCGTCGCCGCCGTCGCGGACGGTACTGTCGCGGTCGACATTTGCTGATTCGCCGAGTTCGAGCTGAGATCGCTGTAATAGGCGCTGCTGGGTGCACTGCTCAGCGTCGGCCCATCCGGCTCGGCGTCGCTTCCGGTGTACGCCGTGTTCTGGTAGGAGGGATGCTCGCTGTTCCTGCTACCGATCCTCAATTCCTGATGATGATGGTGATGATTGTGATGATGGTGATGGCGATGATGATGCTGATGCTGACTCGGCGGTACCGGCGTCGAACGCCCATTCTCGTACATCTCGTAGTCCGGCTCTTGTATCCTAGAAGCAGCGATAACGAAGCTCTCGATAATAATCACTGGTCGGCTAGTCGATCGGAATGCGCCATTAACATACGCAAGGCGTATCGGCCGTATCGATAATTGCCGATTACGCGGCGACGCGTGTCGGATGCGCACGTTGTTATAACGGGCAATTAGGCTCCCAGAAGGCGTTGCCAGAACAAAGCTAGTATTGAGCTTGTTACCTATCTAGGAAGTCGAGAAACGGTAAATCGTTGCGTATGATTATCGCCTTCCGTAATCATCGATTTTGCGATCGTTCTGAACTTGTTCAATCGAATCAATGAGCAGTGAAACATTTTAACATTCTTTCAACAACAATTTTGCGAATATACTCTCTAAATCTGAATCAGTGACTAGATCTGAATCACTGATTTAGCGGTACTATTCAGCTTTAGAGAGTAACGATCATCAATCCAAATCCTTAATCTTTAGAATATCGAAATATGTATATAATGTCCTTAACGTAGTATCGTAATTTAAGATGACGAACATATTTTTATTGTATTTAATAATTTGTATAAATCTGGAAGTATATTTGACTTACCTTTTACTATGCCGAGTACGAAGTGTATCCGTCTGTAGCGATCTGTCGCTACCTCCGTAATGACGATGTAATCTGGCAGCGTCCAGTTCGTGATATTCGTCGTCCTGGCCGCCGGAAGTCGTACCGTACGTCGAGCTTCCTCTCATTTGTAACTGTAAATCGCTCGCGTAGCTCGCGGCCTGCGAGTCCAGTTCCGCGTATAGAGCCTCATCGGTTTGCATGTGGGTGTAGTGATTCTCGACCGGAAGATTCATCGCTCGTCGGTGCTGAGGAAGGGAGAGCGGCGTCGTGACGACTCCCGGGGTGCCGCCGCCTCGCCGAGAGCCCAACCACGACCAGACGTTGTGCCCTAAAGTCCGATTTCATCCACAACTTGAGACCCATGCTGATTAGTATATTTTCTTTACGTACCTTGGCGGCATGTTAATGATAAAGGGACAATCATTGTGACATGCAGAGTTTTGCAAATATTGGGTGAGCCTGATATGATTTTCTCAGAAGAGATAGTTAAAAAGAACCCCAGGCCAGGTAGCAGAGTGACGACAAATGACGTATTTAATAACGTCTTAATGATGTCTCTAACATCAATAATACGTCATTAAGATGTCTTTAGACGTCATTCTGCTACCTGGGACAATTCTGTTTTTTGTAAATTGTTTTGTTTCATCAATCAAGTTTTTTCAAACACGAATTCAATTTCCTTCTGAAAGATAGTTTCCAGATAGGTGCAACTATTAGATACGCTTGACATTATAGGCTCATTTTCGTTCTTTTTCTTCATGTACCAGCTATATTTTGTTTAGCTTATCGCAAGATATGGGCTTGTTTCGTAACATCGTGAAAGATCCTACAGAACTATCGACTAGTTGAAAACGCCGTCGAGAACAAGTCGCGAGATCCGGTTTTGTAAGCTCGACTTTCTTCGAGCGAACGAAATGAGACGTAGGTACAGTGAGAGACGGTGCTACCGCGTTCGCGATCGCAATACACGTAACGTGACGGGAACATGCGAGTAACGAGCGGCCATTTCTCAGCGATCTCTCTCGACGGCGCGTACGCATATGTATGAGAAGCGTCGAACAGCAGGCGTCCCGTAATAACACTCACCGGGACTAGGCGCTACGTCGTGATAAGGCGGTAATTTGTCTAATTCGAGAGGCGGCCGATCGGGTATGACGGCCACCCCGCCGCCGGTACCAGCCGCCCCCGCGGGCCCACTGGCATCGGGCACGCTCGAATCCTCCACGCCGACGCCGCAGCAGCTCGCTGGAACAAAAAGTGGAAGAGAGGCTCTCACACACACGTTGCTCATTGCTCCGGAAAAATTCGTTGGCGCGTCGACGCGAAAGTCGCTTAGCTCAGGTTTCGCCTATAGCTCGCGTTTCTCAGGGTAGGGCATCTCACGGCCCTTCGTTTCGGTTAGCGGAATCCACGGGACGCGTTTCTCGCGCGAGAAGCACGTGAAGTGCCAGGTGAGGTTGGCCCCCGAATTCCGATACGTTTATGGTCCCACGTGCACGTATACACCCCATGCGCAAATATAAATAACTGCCCCCATATATAGAACGGCGACCGAACCCGAATCACCGCATTATGACATGCGTTCGCGTATAGAGAGAAAAAAACCGGCTGTCTTCTGTATAGCCTTATTGTGAGCCTGTCATCGCGCCGTCATGGGCCTTCATAGAATCGTACCGAGGGTTGTAGCGTATCAGAGGGTGGGGCGGGTGGTTGAACTGGGATAGGGGAGGGAGAGAGAAGAGAGAGTGGGCGAGAGGCGGAGAACGGAAAGAGATCTTGAAATTTATGGATCAGAAACGCCGCCGCAGTAAGTGGGCTTATAAGAATGCCGCGGAGGTAAAAAAAAATGAGATTATGGGAATTTCGTGCCCTTTTCGTGTGCCCCACTCTCTCTGTCACTCTTGCCATGAAGACGATCTCATATCCTACACACTTCTTCTAATTTCTATTGTACTACGAAGGGTTCTCGAAGGGCTCTCATCCGTTCTGAAAAGCGTGTCGATGTCATTCGTCGGGAAATAGAGAAATTGGTTCTCGTATACGCGTTACTCTTTACTCGCATTCATTTCGCAGATGTTTAATGTAATCCGTGGCGAGAGGTGCGCGGGATGTTATTTTAATTACACTTCTCTGAAGAGAAAACGTTCTGATCGCGAGAGCGATCGTATATAATAACGAGCTTCTTAACGAAATGGTTGATGGATGTGTTAGAAATCGTTGGTTACTTGATTCGAGCGCACTTTCGCTCACGTTTTTATGGAAGTCTGATGTGGTAATTGATAACTTTAACCTTGGCACGCTCATAATTCTTTCGGTCTACTTGCTCTATAGCCATATTATTCTATATAGATGATTACTTTAGCTTGTAGCATTTTTAGGCATTAGGTTTTTAAACCTGGTTTTACCGATTAATCAAACCTCTAATTTTCTCCCTATTCATTAACTGTCTAAAGATTTTCGATGGATCTACGAGAAACAAAAATATCAAATTTAGTTTCTTATGTGTAAAAAATGAAAAATTTTAATTTTACTGCTTAACGTACAATTAACCTGCGACTTTTGTTGCTAAATAATGGATTAACGAAATGTTCAGTTAACTGTAAAACGATCATAGTCGTAGATATTTCCTTATTTCCTAGCTTCGTTAAAAAGTCATTAATAGTTTGAACTAAGCATATATATTTTGTACTTCTATTACTGCCTCGATCTGACGCGATTTAAGTCGTAATAATAAAGAGGGAAAATCCGTTATATCTCTACAATTACGCGTGACTCTGCTTAATGCTACCAGATTGCTCGATGTCGTCGATTAACGCCGAAATGAAAAGTGTAAATCGCATTTATTTATTAACAGTACGCTGATATCGAGCGCGATTACGACTTGCGACTTAACATTCCGCTGCTAATCTGCTTATTGCGAGAGCGGATCAGGAACACGACGATTTATCCTCAGGTCATTTCGCAACGGTATTGAACCAGTTCTCGTTACGATTCAACCAGTGTGACAAAATTCCAGCGTGATTGTACCGTATAACGCATTATTTATCTTTCCAAGTTTCTGATCATTTTCTCTCTTCCGTTCCCTATTAATTTTACTCGACTCTTACATACAACGATGTGTTTCATCCTATTTTTCTAAATGCTCGAAATTCCGATAGATACCTCGCTTTTCTGAAGTAAGAATATCTCTACATAATATAAAATAATGTTTCGTTTCTGATCCAAAATTTCTAATCATGAGGTAGCTATATTACTCTTCGTATTATTGTCACAATATAAATTTTATTAGCGGCGATGTAACGTAAAAGTTATAGGATATATAATTTTGCTCAATCTGCGAAAATATATATATCAATCCGTGCATAAAGTAGCTAGAAATCGACGTTTTTGTGCAATTATGACATAGTTTCAATTTTCCGAGTGAGTTCAGATAATCTAATCCGTTCGTTCTTCCAGATCGTCGCGCCGTATCACCTGTGGCATATCAATTATTGGGATAGATGGGTAGAATATTAATTGGGCGATTCGTGAAAGGTGTGACGTTGAAGAATATGTCGTCACGACGGGGGAGAGAGAAGAGAAGGGCAAATGTTACGCTCTTTCGTCACGATCAGATAGCTAAAGGCATAGTAGAACCTTGAGCAGAACTCATTTCCTGCCTTCCACTGTTGTGTCACGTGTGAGATATCGTACGACAAGAATTTAATACAATTTATTACGATAAAATCCGTTCGGAGCATAAGTTAGATTACTTACAGTTATATACATGTTCTTACAGTTTTCTTGTTGTTTAAATACAATGAACGTTACAGATTAAATATGTTAGAGACATTGTATTAAATTAATGTTTTATTTATTACTTCTTAATAAATGATGCAATGTCCCGCAGAATTTGAAAAATTTAAATAATTTTTTAAATCAGTTTTCGAATAAGTTTTAATGTGTTATTGTTTCTGTTTCTCGTTACGTTTTTATCATTTGATATTAAGAATCTCTTGATAATAAAATTAAGATACTAAAATTAAAATTTTGATGAAATAAAGTCTGTTAGAAATTGTGATAATTAGAAGTAATAGGTTATAGAAGTATTATTTTATAGAGTAAAACTATTTATATTCAAATTATTCGTTGTTCAATTAACTGTACGTAACTCATGTGTTATTAACGTAATTGTATAATTCAATGAATTTGTTGTAATCAACTTGATATAAAATTTCAATTTATACGACAAAAGGTTTTGCAGCTGATCGCATCAATATATGTATATAAAAGGTTGTTGAACGCATGTAGCGAGCATCTCGATTTCTTGACGTATTATACATCGACTGATCCAAAATATCGTTCCAGTCGGCGCGATAAGCCGATTAACGGATTCGATTCACCTTTTCTACTCGACTCCTCGATCGTCATTGTATACGGAGGATCGCACGGCAATCTAACGTGTATGGTACGGGCTCTCCCGTTCTTTTTTGCGCGAGAGCAACCTCTTTCAGCCGTCCATTAACGCGCTGCTCGCCCAGTGGCACTTAAAGCAATCCTTATGCATGGAAGAATGTACTATTAACGAACTTTTGCTAATTTATTTTTTGCCCGGCAGGATATTCAATTATCTGTAATCTTATATAAAATGTCGGCATCAAGTTAGGTTTCGCAAGCTCCGGTTGAACGTTCAGTCAGGTCCATTATTGATTTAAATTGCGGATTAATTTTTATAATGCTAAAGTTATATATCTGATAGAGATACTGGCAATATTGAAATATTTCTAATAAAAAATCTTGTAAAGATATAAGACTGCGTTTCGATGCTTTATATGTTAACAGATATTAATTCAAAAAGCACACCATTTTTTTGATAAATCAAATATTAATTGATTCTCATTGTAAAACACATTATAAAAGATGTGCAGATGTTAAGTACCTTATTTAGTGTACAATACTTAAAAAGCGTAGTGTGATTAATTATCGTTTATTAATAGTTAACCCTTCGCAGAACCTGTCTAATTTTGCTGCTTCCGTCGAACATGTGTGGGTCTTTTAGGCCAGTTAAGATTTTCAAGCTGTAATAGTGCCATAAAAAATTGGAAAAAATTCAAGTATACTTTTGAAGGCTTTAAGAATTTATTTATACCGTTATATATGATATATGCTTGATTGTTGTTTAGGTTTTTTTTTATGAGTCCGTAAAGTTTCCGAAAAATTCAAAACTGAAATATCGACCGGGTCTTTAAAGCTCCACTTGTTCTGCGAAGGGTTAATTGAAATTATGAGAAATAAAATATTTGACGTACGTACACTCTACCGGCAGGAATACCTGGACATAATACATATATATATGTATATACATATACATTGTACAATATATGTCATATACATATCAAAATGTCCAGGCATTCCTGCCGGTCAGTGTAAGTACGTCTATTTTATAACGTTTTGGGCAGAAGAAGTAGGTTGGCACGCGGCCTTGGCGTTTTTTTTTACAGCGCGCTTGTTTGTATTCGCGCGACGAGACACGAGACTCGAGCCGGTAGGGGCGCGGGCGCGGGCGCGGGGCGGTAGGTACTTAGCGCCTTAGCGGCGCAAACGCTAAACAACTTAACAACAGTCATTCGCATCGGATCGCAGCACGGAGCAATACACGAATCCGGCGGTCCAGATTAAAAACTCTGATATATCGAATGCTTATATACATGGCTTCGCGATATTGATACGGATACCGAGGTATATCGCATTTGATGATATTGACTTTCGATTACATTCTTTCGGACGATCTCGCTTTTCGCTACCATCAAATTGACTCGTATCCTGTCGCGCGGCTTTAGAATTAATGAAGTTTTCGGAACACGGATAAAGGATCGATACGAGCGCGGATCCTAAAGCGAATAACGCCACGACGTGTTTAATTAGCAGTCTCTATTAACGTCGTACGTTTAACCTCGTACCTATTTAATCATGTTTTGATATTTGGGAATCGTGGTAGATAGACATGTGAATGTTTAATAAATCGATGATTTAATTAGCAGTTAATTAAAATCGCCTCGCAATCAGTAAAGCAATTATTTTCGGTTGGCATGTCCCGCGGATATTTCTCTTTCACCTTGATTCATACATTTATTCCTCTTACGTCGCGCATATTGCAATACGTAAAAGTAATCTCGACATTATATTCGCTGTTCAAGGTGCGAAAAGTACAGGTGTGGGAGCAGCAAGTGTAGCGTCCTCGCGACGCGCGACGGTTCAGACGGTTGCTCCTGGCGAGGTGGCGAGTGAAGTTGGCCGCGCGATTTACGAAATTCTCACCGCCATCTTCAACTCACTTGTCGCGTCTACCTGCGGGGCATCACGGGTTGACGGGCATCGAGTGGATCGTATACAGTTTCGTTCGTAGCTTCTCCGACGTAATTCTTCCGTCGCCGTGTAATTAAGTATACGCGCCGCGTCGCGAGATTAATACCGGGAGTGCCGTGCAAAGTGTCGCGCGATCGTAAACGACGATATTTTTTCGTGCGTGAATGAGTGAATATCGTGAGTGAGTGCGCCGCCGGGACGCGACAACGGAGGAACGAGGAGAGGAGGAGGAGGCCTGGGAGGCATCGGGCGACGGCGGAGCGACCGTGAGGTGAGTAATTATTATCCATTTATTATTTTGGTGGTCTGTGGATTTCGTCACTTTCGAGGTTCAACTCCGGCGCAATTTCGGAGTAACGGAGTTCGATCTCCGTTACTCCGCATATGCGAGAAAAGATATTACGTCGCCAACGTCGCGTCTCTTTTTTATTCGCACGATTGCTTGCACGATTTTCCGCGAATTATGTAGTTATGTGAATGAGTTAATGCGGAAATATGCGGCCGCTTACGGCGGCCGCGATTGTTTCTCGCATTAGCATTTCAAAATGAGATATTTGTTAAAATTACGTTTTTTTTTAATTTAACGCGGGCGCGATAATTATTTATTTGAAGTATTGATTATCTTGTGGACACTGTTTTTAATGTAAAAATATTTCTATGTTACAGATCAACGCAGAATTACAACTCCGCTGTTGCGCATCGGCCGGTGAGTTTTTTTTTTTCTCTGCGGACTTTTTATTACAGGTTATGCGCATTCATGATCAGTGAGACATGCTCGAGACGTGATCGCGACAGGTACTAGAAAATGGGAAACGCGATCACTTTCTATGATTGACTTTAATAATTACTTATCAAACGACGCAGTTGGTTAACCCTCATAATTAAAAACTCGTAAACGTATTGAGACTTACGATTATTTATATAGATACAGTTATTTCACACGATTTATTTATTTATATTCGAATAAAAGCGAAAAGGGATGAAAATTACAAATTCGTGTAAGCTTTATTGCGATAGTTATTTCTTTGAAGACACGTGGAAGAATTGATGTTTGTCAGTTATATGTGATTTAGTCGTTACTTGCAGTTTGAAAGAATGGAGCAATGACTTGCCAACTCGAGTGATTTCAATAACCATGATATATTGATCGTTTAATAATTTCTCGCATATTTCGCGAATTACGCGTCGCGTACAGTTAAACTCGAGAGTGTCATGCAAAGTGCACACGAGCGTAATTAATCATGTTTCACGAGTATTATGTGTGCAACGAAGGAGTCCTGCGAGTAGGAGCAGGTTTGGGAGGCGCCGGTCATCGACGAGGCAATCATGAAGTAAATAATTTATTATATACTTATTCTTTTATTTGTTATACCCGGAATTAAATGTGTGAATACTATACTTTGGCCAATTTTAATCGTTTGTAATTCGGAAACTAATTAATCAGTTAATATTTTCATATCAGAATTTTTAATTACATTTTATCTCCAGAATACGCAATTAAAGTATATAAATTAGTCATGTGACATCTTGTGCATAAATTAATTATTTTAAGGATAACGTTAGAAATTTAACGTTTGATTTTTGAAAAAAAATTTTTGTAAATAAGATATATTTATGGGTGTATATATTAACACTTATATATTTTATCCAAATTAATATTTTTGCAAGGCTTTACTCTTGTCATAAGAGAGTAAGCCATTTACTCTCTTGTGACAAGCTCTCACGGCCCTAAAAAATTACGATAAGATCTCTTTAACGCTAGAATTCCATTTTGTCATTGAGAAATTTCCTTTTCTACATACTATTACGCGATTAACAGACCCGTTGTCTCAAGCGGTACTTAGCAATAAATCATCGCGTCTTAACGTGTAATTGTATCTTGGTTATTCGTGCCGGTTATCCGTTCTAAAACCGGACTAGTGAGCTCGCCCCTGGGGCGAAAACAACGAAATTATGCGTTCTTGCAGGTTGCAAATACAAATTCGCCTCCGCGCGGACCACATTCGACGATTATTTTTATGCGAAAAGAACGAAAACTGATAATATCATTACCAAACAATCTTATTTCAGTTTACTTGTGGTCAATTAAAAAAAATTTTTTTAAAATATCTTTTCGCTTATATTTTTCAAGATGCTTTTACAATTTACAATAATGCAAAAAAATGCAATGTTATAGATAATGAAGAATATCAATAATTTTTTAGACAGTTCGATCTCTTTTTTTAGATATTTTAAAGTTTGATAAGTATATTTTTTGAATATTTCACATATTTTACATCTCACATTCAAGTAAATATCTTTTACCTTCAAATTTAGGCTTTAGTTTAGAATTTAAGCAGGTTAGAGTTTAAATCGCGAAGACCCGATAGTGATTCAAAAGGTTCAATGAAACGAGTGTTGGATAATTAATTCGGGTGACCCCTACATCCCAGGCAGTAGCACAATTCCCCCTCCTGTCTTTCCGCTCGCTCATCGTCTTTTTACGTTCGCCGCCGTTCGCTCGTCGATCGTATCGCGCTGCAGCTGATTTTAAATCAGAAAGTTAATTAGAAGCGTTTCACTGTCTTTTATGTCGCCCGGCCGCGGCCGTCTGTCCGTCGCGTCGCGTCGCGTCATGTCGCGTCGCGTCGCATCGCATCGCATCGCCCGATTATATCCTTTAAGCAGCACGACGGAGAACGTGCAGCAACACGGTCTCGTAGTTTATACCGCCATGAACGGTTTGCATTATGCGAACTAATTAAACTCCAATCGATGCTGGCACTCGATGCTACGACGGTGTTGCTCTCTTTCCTCTTCGCGCCGACGTGCCCGTCGTCGCGCGTCGTCAGCCCACCGCCGTGCACGCGCACGCTCGTGTATTAGGTCTGTATGGGGGTCTCCGCAATGGGGTTTCGCTCTTCGCGTTCGAGTCCTTTCACCGTCTGAAACCGTGACGGTCGTCGTTGGTTACGACGGAGATGGCGACGGCGACATCGTGAGACTGCCTTCGCGAACACGAGGTGTGGAGAGGTATATCCCCTTTATCTCCTGATAAGAGACATGGTATACCTTACGAACGTGTCTCATGTTTTCGAACCGTCACGTTTATTGATTCGACTGATTGTCGCCCTATTTTTTTTTAGGATCGTACAGCATAGAGGCGAGTACATTGTCGACGCCCATTTTAGAGATCGCGCGATGAGAGATCAATACGAGTAAACAGTTTATTCTGCAACATTTTACGTTACAACACTATTTAACGATACTTTCATATGTTTACGTAATCAAAATGAAATTAATTAATACGATATGGTAAATATTACGTTATATCGCAGATTTCAAACGTTGATATAATTTTCCATGTCACATATCTCTTTGAAACGTATCATATTGATGCCATTTTCTCATCAACGTTTCTCTCATTTATATTTTGCCGTATTTTTCTACAACTTGAAGTTTATGACATGACAAAGCGAGGAGCGCTCTCTTTAAGGTATACCTTTTGTGGGGTCTCTTATAAAGCATATTCGAGATAATATTATTGTGAATGTGGATGTCGTATATTAACGAGTAGAAGGGCCTTGTGAGCAGGTAACTCAGTAGGGGAGTCTCGGATAATTGGGAATCATTTTGAATCTGACCTGTCAGCGCCGCCGCGAACCCGCCGCGCCGAATATGGTATGTTAATTCGACATAATTGGGGGGCTAGCTCGCGTCTCGACAGTAAATCCAGACCTCCCTTTATTCTACCGACCTAATCGTAACCCTACGTACCGTAACCTTACCCTGCTTCTTATGAATGATTTTTGTAGACCGGTCCACGTTTGCATAATGAAATTCGTCTCGTAGGTACAAAAACTCACGATATATTATGTTACATTAAAAGTATAAACGAAAAGAGTATAACCGACCATAGTATTTCGTGGCGAAGTTTCGCGAGGATTATGCATACTTTGACAGAACTTTGCTTACCTCTGCCACCGGCACTTTTTATCCTGTAACAGATCAAATAGAAATATCGATGAATTCTGAGAAATATTTGTCATTAGTTATTTTATAAAGATAATAATTGTGATAATAATATAATTGGTTCTTTTAATTAATTACTATAAAGTGACGACAAATAGGAATATTTTGTTGAACATAAGTCAGTAATGATTACTCATATTACATCGGATAATCAACTTATTAAAAAGGAATGCTCTAAATCATTTTTTATAACCATTTTTTTCCTGAAAATTATAAGTGAAGGAACATGCAAGTTGGCAATCAAGTTTAATAAATCATCTTCTATGAGAAGGACGTAGAGGAGGATGAGGAGATTGCGATCACGAAAACCCTCGTTTCCTGGCTACTCAGGAATTCTAATCGAGATCTGACCGCAGTCATGATTCTTTCTAGTAATGGTGTTCGTGTACCATTTCCTTCTTCTTTTTCTGCTCTTTCGACGCTCTGTTAGTTTGTCACTTGCCGGATTCATACCGAATCGATCTAGTTAGCGACTGCTTCATCCTCGTTCTTAGTGTCGATCGACTCGTTCGATTACGTATCGCCGGTAGGTGGTAATTTAAGAGAATCGACCGCGTGCGGCTGTAAGATGAAACCGCGATCGGTTCGCGAATCTGTCGGCGCGATGATCCGTATCGTAGTGCTTCACTGTTCTCCGCGAAGCCTTCGAGAGAAGCGTCTCCGTGAAGATTGCACTGGCTAGCGTGCAATAGGATTTCAATTTGTGCGACCATTAACTCTGATTGATTTTATCCAGTAAATTTAACGAGAAATAGGTAGTTGGTTCCGTGTCGCGCGAAGGTAATTTTCGATTATTTCTTTTCTCTCACTTACATTCACCAAAAAAATATACACTTTTCATTAAAAAGTAATAATACTAACCTTCGACAATGGAGAAGAGTCATCATCACTACCGCTCCGATACCGGCCGATACTAAGGACACTATCACAAGAGTCAGCACCCATCCAAGTTCTCCAGGAGCTTCTGTAAAAAAAATTGAAAGTTATAGGTTTAATATTGCGAAATATTTCTTGTAAAAATTGTATTGAAACAGTACAACAAATATTATTGATTTTTAATCTTGTTAGTATTACAAATATATATTTATATTTATCGTAAAAAGACGAATAGATTTTTCAAATTAATCAGGCAAAAATATGCAATTATATAGAAAAATATTAAAAAACAAAAGTCAGAGATACAAAAGATTTCTATATTTCAACAGTATAATAAGTGTGAAAGATAAGTATATAAATATGTTGTCGCTAAAAATTTGACATTTAAAGAATGCGTCGGGTTTTCGACGTTTTCAGTTTTTGTCCCGCCGCATTATCGTAATTTCTTCAGGTGAGCCCGGGTCTTCGCCAAGGACATATATACAGACAACACGAGCGTCATATAAATCGACTCTTGAGATCTTCGCGCGGGGGCCCCGTAATTGGCTCACAGCCTCATCCGGCGCGTCCTGTTTCCGCGCAGCGGGACACCCGCAGGTTTATTAGGCGTCCTTCGCTATTATTCCTGCCGCACACCTACCGAAAGCACTCTGCGTCCCTTACCTATCCCACTTATCCCCGCTGAAATCGTTTCATCTCGGACGCGCACCGGCAGCGCGATCTCGCGCACCGCACTTAACGAGGCCTGAGATTATCGTCCGTGCGAACGTAATTAAGAGAATCGCACCGCGGGTTTATTGCGAGGAAACAGCGGCCGCGAGCGAACGTATGATGGAGACGATGGAGGTAGGTTCTTCTCGGTGCGGATCGCCCGATTAGTCGAAGAATCGTTCTTCGGACGCAACTGGCGGCGGCCGTGGCGATTCGCGGTCGGCCGCCGCCGCGCCGCGCCGATGATTTCCCGCAGTCTCCGCCTGAAGAGTACTTACACACTTGCCGAACGATTCCCGACCAGTTCTCGGTTGTTTGCATAGCCGTTCTTCGCTGAAACGCGAGCTTCGAGTGAGATAACTGCGCGCCACCGAGCGGTTTCCTTCCCTCGCTCCACGCTCATTAGTCGGATCTTATGGTTCGTCGTGTTATCGTGAAATATCTTAAACTCGTACAGAATTTTTCTGATCAGTCCTTACTCAAGGTCTTAATCGCGACGATTCCCTCCGGCCGACGTGAATTTAAACATTGAAATGGAGATTAGCGACGATCGCTCGCGGAATTACGAACGAGAGAACGGGATAATTAGGTCCCGCTGATCGCAGGATTATCCGCGAAAGAGGACGCCGTAATGCGCGCTTCGACCGCCTCGACCGCTCCGTCCGACGACTTTGTTCACATCTTTTCGCTCGTTGCAGCGACATTAATCGCGTGCAGTTTTCGAATTCCACCACGAGCAGCGTTTCTATCTTGAGACCATCCTAAGTATGCTCATTCGGAGAGGTAGATTCATTACGCTCTTGTCACGCGGCTTTCCGTGCCGTCGGTCTGCCTACGCATATACGTGAGTTTATATGTACTTCAAGTTGTCGACGCTGCAATCGCTCAGGGCTCGGCGCGAGCTTGGAAAAGGGGGCTTCCAAGGGAGAGGAAGTCGTCCGAGAGAGAAGGAGCCGCCCGTGATCGAGAGCTGGTACTCGACTCTGCATACGAATGCGCCGTTAATGCTGCTTCTTCACGATTGTAAGGTAGCTCAGGTAGCGATATAGAGGGATATAGGACCGGCCAACTTTTTGAAGCTAATAATTTCTGGGTAACTCCGTGATTAAGCATGATTAAGAAAGTATTTTTAGGGAAGAGTTTTTTGCTGTGCGCAACTTATAATTCAGAAAAAGGAATAAACATTTCTGTGAAAATGAAAAATGATCTTATCGAGCTATGAATGAGTTTAACAGATTAAGTTATCATTCTACGTATAATTTTGGACAAATATGGACAAATATTCTCAACCAAATGATTTTAATTTAGTTAATATCTATAATAGGATTTTTTATAATTCATAAAACTAACAGATATTTCTGTCCTTGTGTGTAATAGACGAAGGGGAATCGAAAATCGGTAGGGCTAGAATCATAAAGAGAGCGCGTTTAACACGTCGACAATTAAAGGCAACAAGTTACAGTCGGAAAGCCGAAGGGAAAGAGAGGAGAAAAGGTAAAACTCGTCTATCAGTGTCACGTCCCTGACGTGAACATAACAGCGTGCACGCTGCGGCTGATAACGCTTACAAGAGAGTTATCAATCATCTCGCACCGAGATTGACCACCTAGACCAATGCGTGTTAATGTCGGCCAGCATACGCGAGTTTCCTGTTACAGTTATCTCGGTAAATTGTTTTGATCTATGAACAGGCCAAGCTAGTTAGGTAGTCTCTTCAACCTGTATGTCGGAGTTAGTAACCTGTTGCGAACCTTCTCTCATTAGCAACTAAAATTTTAATGACGTAGAAACGATGTTTAACTATATACGCTATATGCATTTTTCGCTGTTGATTTAGGCTGAACGTAATCGTTTAGCAAGATATCTTCTCTCTGCAATGCACTTAGAACTTATCTTAGAAACGGCTGCCTTTAGATATCACTAAGGAACGCTGATGATTATTCGAACCTCGAATATCGAAATCGATATTTTATATCGATGTAACCATAATTTTATTTAAATCAATTACGCTCTTATTCAAGTAATAAATTTGTACAAATGGTTACATTATTATTTTATTAAGATTTGCTCTTCAGACATGATTTCGCCTAATCAAATATGCCTATATTGGTGTATGTAACCACATTTTTTCCCCTATTATAATTGTATAAAAAAAATTTATTTCCTCTCCTTTGAAGAAAGCGCGATCAACCGCCACTGTTTTCGCGATCGGGCCAATCGTTTTAGTTTGACCGCAACATCGACTTCACCTTTCGCCGCTGTCCACGATCGCGGTTTAATGTACAACGGCGGCTTAGTGTACGGTCACTTCATCGCTTTACCGTTTCAAAGGTGATCGGCTGTTAGACATAAATGAAAATAAGAATGAAACGACAGGCTCCTCGCTTGGAGTCGTAACTTCTCGTGTAGACAATGCTATGCGATCATATAATCTCGTTAGATTTTATGCACTCTTGTGACCCGTTGCGAACGGATTAAAGGATGCTCGTATGCCTTGTGCAATTTAAATCGCGTGAAATTTAGGAGGCAAAATAGTGGATGCAATAAATATATTAATATTAAAATTAGGATTATTAAATACATATTTATTATTAGAATAACTCGGGAAAATTTTTATTAATTTACGCTATGCGAATATAATTTGATCATAATGAGAAATCAATATATTAAGTACTCAAAAAATTTGTTCTCCTCTTTTCCATTAAAAATTTTGTTAAGTGATAATATAGTTGAAACTTGAAACATATATTTTTTTTACTGTTGACCAACTTTGAAAATTTCGCATTGCGTAGTGGATAGTGGGACCGAAATGAAAACATATGCATCGATCTTACTCTTATTCCCTGTTTCGCTGACAAATAATAAATTACTTAGAGCGTTTTTGGACAAAAAGGAACGTCATTAAGAAAATCTAAACGTTAATAAAGTTAAGTTTATGTCATTACTAGTGCAAATAGACTTATAACTTTACGCCAAAGCTTCGTATCAAGCTGCATTTTCGAGAATTTTGCTGTATATATGTAGTTCGGCTATCTTTGCATAAAAATAACACAATATTGATAACAATGTGAGCGTGAAATCGTGTTTTGCTCGCTGTGAAGCCGCGAATATTTATTTAAACGGGTTAATAATAAAAATAACCAAATGGATTCGTGTCACAATACTTTTTGGACAACAATGTACGCCAACGGCTTACACACGGAATCGACAAACTTCGTCGATCAGTAAATTCAACGCTGTTCTGCCATTATGGGCCCCTCAACCGGTCCCCGCATACCGTTAAAGCTCCTCGTCGAGATTTCGTCGATAGCCGCCTCCTCGTGGCTCAATATTTCTCTAGATTTCGTCGATAGTTGTACGCCTACATTCTTTATTGATCTCGGTGTGTTCGCGTCGCATATATATATCGTATATGTTTTGCGTGAGTTTTCTTTTTATTGGCTTCGCAGCCGCCTCGTACCGTCGAGATCGTTCCGCGATCCATTTCGACAGGTGGCCCAGAGTCCGCCTCGTATTTCAGGATTCCGGACTCCAATTACAGTCTCCGCGAATAACCGAGCACCCTCTCTCCCTCTTTCTCTCTTTTTCTCTCCCGGGAAGCTCTCGCGACCCAGTCTGGGATCTAATTTCCGATTTGTACGGATTCGTGGGGGGTCGATATCCGAATCGCAGCACGTAAGCATGTGTCCCCCGTGTACACCGTTTTTACACGTTCGCTACCATCGGTAGCGAACGATCACGCTACAGCCGTTGACCGCGTCTGCTTAACGTAATTGCAGCGCAATTTTGTTTTACACGGGATATATCGGTTCGAAATTAGAATAAGGCGTATCATACTTATTAAAAGCAGATCTCGCGCAGTTATGTGGATATTTATGTTCATTTGACTATCGCCGCTTATTAAGCGTGATTTATTCTGATTATCCCGTGGATATTCTGGTTCGTACGTTGGTTTATTCAGCGTCCGTCGTTACGGCATTCCACGCGATTTTTGGAGTTACCGTTTATCGAGAGGACATTTGCGGATAACTTAGAGTATATAACCCAGAACGATTTCCAGTTTGGACTTCGTGGTAAAGGAGTTTGCGTGTTCCATCAAGTAAGATGGCACTTTATGTGGTCATTATGTAAATTAGCAATTACTTGCTCATAGATGTATGCATGAAAATTACCGGCGGTGTGGCTCGTTTAAGATGCTCTCGATCGACGAACCGGGCGTATTCAATGACACGCACAAATAGGAGACGTTTTACTTTAATTACGTTTGATGTTTCCGGAGTTGTTTTACTTCATAAAAGTTGCAATTGATAAACACATAAATGTGACGTTTGTGTACAATTTATCAAGAGAATTATATACTGATTACATATTTAGAAT